GCTGCTGTGGCTGTGAGTGTGCCACAGCACTCCAGCCTGGGTGACAGAGTGAGACTCTGACTCAGAAAAAGAAAAAAAAGAAGCCTTATAGTCTTTTCTAGCTAGTGATTACCTGGAAAATTTAGAATAGAGAATTCACTATAGCATCTTTATTAATTGTTGTTAATATATTTTTCCCTGTTTCATGCATCCAGTGACTCATTATGAAAAATAAACATTACAAATTACTGTTTCTCATTTGAGGAAATTTAATTTATCAAATGTTAATTTCTTCATTATTGTCTTTTCTGTCTTGAAACTTCTCCTACTTCAGGTCACAGAGATATTCTCCTTTGTTTTTTCCAGCTGCATTATGGTTTAAGTATTTATATTTAGGTCTGTGATCTATTCCTAATCGATTTTTGCATAGAGTAGAAAGTAAGTGTTTAAGTTTTTCCCAGTGTGGTGGATATCCAGTTGTTTTTGTACCACTTGTGTAAAGGCTTTCTTTTGTTGTTGAATTATTTTGATGTTTTTGTCAAAAATCAATTGCTTGCAAAAGTCTATTTCAGGACTCATCTATTTTATTGATCCCTTTTTTTTTTAGAAGCAATACCATACTGTCTTGATTACTGTGGCTCTATAGTAAGTCTTTTTTCCTCATTTTTTATTTTATTTTATTTTATTTTATTTTATTATAGAGATGTGGGGTACAAGTAAAACCTAACATGCAGCTGACTACTTAGGTAGTCTGCATGAAGGTGAAGTTTGGGCTTCCAACTGGCCCTCCTTCCCCTGGTAGTAGACCTGGTGCCCTTTGTGTTGTCACATGCTTCCCACCTTCTTCCCTCTCCTCCTCCCCTAGCAGTGCCTGGCAACTGTCAATCTCTCCCTTGTGTTCATATGATTACTGTTCAGGGGCCACTTAATGAATAAGAACATGCAGGAGTCAGTTCTTTGTTTCTGTGACAGATCACTTAGTATGATGGTCTCCAACTCCATCCAGTTTGCTGCGAAGCCCATAGTTTTGTTTTTCTTTATGGCTGCATAATACTCCATTATGTGTATGTACCACATTTTCTTTATCCAGTCCACTTTTGATGCACAGTAGTGTTGGTTCTATGTTTTTGCTATTGCGAAGAGTGTGACAATAAATATGAGTGTGCAGGTGTCTTTTTAGTAGAATGATTTATGTTCCTCTGGGTATATTCCCAGGAAAGGGACTGCTAGATCATATGGAAGGTCAGTTTTTAGTTATTTTAGGAATCACTACACTTTCTATAGAGGTTCAACTAGTTTCCACTGGTTGAATCAGCAGTATAGAAGTGTTCCCTTTTTACCATACCTGTGCCAGCATCTGATGTTTTTGACTCATTAATGATAGCCCTCCTTACCGGAGTTAGAGGTAGTATCTCATTGTGGTTTTGATTTGCATTTCTCTGATGATTAGTGAGGCTAAGCATTTTTCAATGTGTCTGTTGGCTGCTTTTATGTCTTCTTTTGAGAAGTGTCTGTTCATGTCCTTTATTCACTTTTTAATGGAGTTGTCTGTTTTTTTCCTTTCACTTTGCGTTCCTTGTAGATCCTGGATGTGAGGCTTTTGTCAGATGCATAATTTGCAAATATTTTCTTCCATCTTCCATTCTATGGGTTGTCTTTTTACACTTCTTTTTTTTTTTTTTTTTTTTGCTATGCAAAAGCTTTTCACTTCACTTGTCTATCTTAGCTTTTATGGCATTCACTTTTGGGGACTTGGTCAAGAATTCCTTGCTTACTTCAGTGTGCATAAAGGTTTTTCCTATGTTTTCTTCTAGGATTCTTATAGTTTGAAGTCTTATGTTTAGGTCTTTGATCTATTTTGAGTTGATTGTTTTGTATCCTGTGATAGGTAGGGGTCCAGTTTCATTCTTTGGCATGTGGTCAGTCAGTTTTCCCAGCACCATTTGCTAAATATGATCTCCTTTCCCCAGTGATTGTTATTGGTGGCTTTATTGAGGATGAGTTGGTTGAAAGATCATGTTTTTCGTTTGGAATCTCTGTCCTGTTCCATCGGTCTGTGCATCTATTCTTGTACCAATACCAGCCTGTTTTCGTTACTGTAGCTGTGTATTACAGTTTAAAGTCTGGAAGTGTGATACTTCCTGCTTTGTTCCTTTTGCTGGGGATTGTTTTGGCTATTTGTGCTCTTTTCTGTTTTCATATGAATTTCTTTATTGTCATTTCCAGGTCTGAGGAAAAGGATGTTGGTAATTTGATGGGGATTGCATTAAATCCGTAGATTGCCTTGGGTAGGATGGTTGTCTTGACATTATTGATTCTTTCATGAACAAGGAGTGTTTTTCCATTTGTTTGCGTCATCTTTGATTTCTTTGAACAGTGTTTTGTAGTTCTCGTTGCAAAGGTCTTTCCCTTCTCTGGTTAGGTGGATGCTAAGGTATTTCATCTTTTTGGTGGCTATTGTGAATGAGGTTGTGCTTTTTATTTAGTTTGCTTGTTGTGTGTTTATAGAAATGTAGCTATCTTTTGCATGTTGATTTTATACTCTGAAACTTTACCAAAGTCATTTATCAATGTGAGGAGACTTTTGACAGACTCTTTTGGGTTTTCAAGGTATAGAATCATGTCGTTCACAAAGAGGGATAGCTTGACTTCCTCTTTTCCTATTTGATTACCCCTGATCTCCCCCTGGGAGACAATGAGCATAGGATGTACAGACTGAGGCATACTCAAATTTGGGGGAGCCATAAGTGATTTCCCAGTGTATCTTGTTAGCTAATTTATAAAAATAGTTTTCATGTTTATAATATGAAATCAAAACTTCAAGAAAATTTGAAACTCCCTTATAAATTCTTAGCTAATATATAAACTAATAGGTAAGTATGAGCTTCCCCATTTTGAATGTTTTAATCTATTACAACATAGACTCTAGTCACAGAACAGGGTTTGAATTGTGTTTCAGCTACTTATTAGTGGTTTGACTTTGGTCAGGTTGCTGTTAATCTCTCTATGTGTCAGTTTTCTCACCTATGAATTCAGAAAATTGTGAGACCTAATGAATAGTATTATTTTCAGGTATTTGTAAAGCTATTGTATATAAAGTGCTCAACTCGGTGCTCGGTGTATAATAAATATTTTAAAAATTACCTGTTTTATATACGCACACTTTCATGAATATGTTTCATGTGCAGATTATTTAAGTATAGGAAGAGCTTAATCACTTCCTGTCTCATATGTAAGTGGCTCAGCGGGTTGGCGGGAAGAGCTCTGACCTATTGAGATACCACAGGTGTTACCATGGTTGTGAAGTGGGAGAATATCTGGTAATAACAAAATAACAGCAGTCTGCTTCCTATGGGAATTTCATGTTTATTAGCTCAGACAATTGCCATGGAGAGATTATTGGCTCTGGTACTTTGGGGTTCATATTCCTCAGTGTCCTGAGGACAAATCTTGTGGAAAATGAACTTTTGGTTTTCTGTAGGCACCATCGGTACACTGTCTGCCTTTACTGCACCAGACAGAGTTCTGTCGCGGTTTTGCACGTCGCTGTGCATAGTATAGGGCAGAGGAGAGTCACATCTGGTCCATTCAGAATGTCATTACTGCACCTCCGCTGAGGCCTTTCACAGACTTCCTCTCTGCTTCCATCAAGCCCTGTCAAGGTGACGGTGAAGTTGTTGCCTGGAAAGGGTCGATGTCATTTGGCATGCATTCCTATACCTGGGGAGAGTAGTGGGAGAAGCGGCACAGTTCTTGCTAATTATTCAGCAGCAGAGAAGAAAACATGGGCTTCCTTCATCCTTGGAATAATAGTGAGACTCAGAAACCAGCAGTGTGGCCATCAGTGTATGCCCTGCTGCAGGGCTTGAGACCCTGCCTTTGATGGGATCTCTCATAGCATGTTCTTGGGTTGTGAAACAGGTCCCTTACACACACTGGTTTTAACCTTTTGGCGACACTTAAGGTGGAAAACACTGTATAAAATTTCTAGAACAGAGCTTTGGCTTTCGAGGTAGCTTAGCTTTGGTTTGATTTTGTCCCATGAAATAGCCAAACTAGGTTCAAAATACTTTTGCTCTTTTTCTGTCTTTTTCTACCTGCCTTGCCCTGGGGCTTGCATCTTAGCTTTGTTCTAGTAAGTCTGTCTTTGAAGAAATCTTGCTCATGAATGAAAATGTGAAGATGCCACTATGTTGTTATGATTGGTAGTTGCTTCTCAGGGTGTGTTGGAAAGGAACTGTGAGGCTCATGGTTAGGTAATAATGGACAGTGCTGCAGGCTACTCTCATCACCAGAGGCTTAGGAAGGCAGCGTGAGGTGGTGAGGGCCCCACAGCAGTGGTGAGATTGCCAGTAGCCAGCTCTCTGCTGGGTAGAGGAGGGCTAGGGCTTGGCCTCAGGTTGTGCATCACACTGAAGCACAGAGAGGTTAACCGTTTGCCATTGAGCATGTGCAGGGACTCTGACCCATTCCTAACACGTGCAAAGATGTTTGTTTGTTCTGACTGTGGGTTCCTTCCCATACCTTTGTGTTCACCTGCTCTCCAGCCCCTCGTTCCTCAGGGCAGCTCTCTTAACACCCCTTCCCACTTGAGTTCCTTTTTATGCCCATTTCTCTATCTGCCTCCTAAAATTCTGTAATTCTGGTTTTCTGTTTCCATCACTGTTGGCTTCACCAAATCAGAAGAACTTTCTCAAGTCTTTCTATCAGGGACAGGGTGAGTATTCAGGCTCCCCCCAGCCAGCCACCCCAACTCACCTTTACTGTCACTTCTCTGGAACATCTGTTGATGATGATGATGATGATGATGATGATGATGATGATGATGATTGCCTCTGCCACTGATAGACTGCTCTAGCCTCAAGTTGAGGGTTGGGATTCACTGTGCCTGTGTTGTCCCCGCCAGTGAGGCCAGTCCTTAGCAGGCAGAGGCGTCTTGATGGAGCTGTCAACCTGAAGCCATGTGATGTGTTGTCCAGCATTGGTGTGTGGTAATTGAAGCAATCTTACATTTTTTTCAGGAGACATTGAAAATGGGTATGCGAAACTCATTGTTATAAATTCTAAAAACAACAGCGACCACCTCCCTCTTGTTGGCAAAATTGGCCTGTTTTGGAGAACTAATGTTGTTGATGGCTATATAAAGGTAAGAATAGAGCTGTTTTCTTTCCTTCCAGTAGCCTGGTTTCTTTATAATTTTTAAAAATCTGTTAGTGTGTATATATGACACTTCTGTATAAGTTCTGGGTTTATTATTCTGGTTTCTGAAGACGTGTGCACATTTTCTTAGTCATTGACAATGAAGTAATTCATTTGCCAAATGCTTCCCGAGCACCTTTGTTTTTCATTGAGTGTGGTGGAGTAGGAAAGCTAGATGACCTGCAGCAGTGTTTCTGAACAGTGTTGATCGCAACCCTCTACCCTGCGAAGCTCCTCGGTGGGACTGTTCTGTGGCAAGTCAGTGGAGCTGAAGGTTGGACCAGGCAAATAGGGTCTACTCAAAACACCCTGAACACTCATACACCAATTTAAAGACTGTTGCGGTTATAAGTTTTTGTTTACGGACATAGGTATTTTTCCTTGCACAGTTAAATAAGAGATGAGCACATGGGTGAGAGAGTTGATTTAGTGATTGTGAACTGACAGGGAAGGAGGGAGAAGGAGGAGGAGTAAGAGGACAGAGATTCTCATATAATTTTGTTTTCTTCTGTGATTCTTGTGTCTATTGCTGGGTCTCATTACTCTCCATCTTTATTTTGTAGGAGGAATAGAATTTCCATAGACACAGGAACCAGTGGGATTGCAGGGGGCCTCCTGTAACATGGCATTATTCTGCCCTGCTTGTGTGGACTCCTTGTTAGAACTATCAATGACCATGACCGAGACTAAGAGTAGTCCATCATGGAGCACTTTCTCCTGAGCCACTTAATGTTTGATACAATATGTTTTACTAATCCTACTTATTTGTAAGCAGATGTTTAACTTTTTTGTTGGTGAAAATTATGTTTATCACACACAATAGCATATTGATTCATGCCCTTAAGAGCACAGACCTGACTTCTTTACTTTTGTTTAATGGATTTAGATAGGGTTTATAATAAAAACATGTTCTAAAATAAAATTCTAAAACCAAAGTAGACCTTGAGGATCAAGAAAGGCAGAATATAAATATGACAAACTTTTAAAGGGTCAGCATAATTAAAAAAATAACTTGTTCTGTGTTTTCTGGTAGTTTAGAGCAAGATGAAAGCAGTCATTTAGTTCTAACTGGGGGGAAAAGGGAAGTATAGTAATTATACAAAGAAAGAAAGCTCCCTTCAAGCTCTGATCATTAAAAACAAAATCTCCAATGGGACTTTATGTAGGGCAGACGAAGCTATGTAATGGACCAACCACAAATAGCATTTTAGCAGCAAATGCACTGACAGACTCCTCATAGCAGTTCTCATAGAAGACCAAGGATGTAGCTTCAAAATTGAACCTTCAGATGAGCTCCCAGTGTGGTTCTGCAAGTTACTAGACCAGTGCAACTTAGGTGCACAAGCTTCTAGAAAAGCAGCTTAATCTGAATACAGGATTTTGGGTTTTTAAAGCAGGGAGTGGATTCCATGTCTCTGAACAATGTTCCCTGTGAATTCCTTCTCTCAGGTGGACTTTGGGAGAAGAGGGAGACTAGTTCAAACTCTTGTACCCTCTCCCTAGTGCCTGTGGGTGGATATGGTCCATTTGCATTTTGCCATTTATGCTGTTGGGGTCAGTAGTAAGACTAAGCTGTCCTTAGAGTTCCCAAAAGGAAAAATGAAAAGGTAGGTGATATCACCTTCCTTGTGTTTGCTTTGCAGATCAGGAATTTCTCTCCAGGAATCCGATCACCTTAAGTATAGTGAAATGATAAAATGTAGTACAAGAAATTGCTTTCAAGGGGTACAAACTTTTTTTTTTTTAAAAGCAAGGTCATGACATAGAAAAATTTCTTAGGTACAGATAACTATTAAAAAAGTAAAATGAAAGTCCTGCTTCTCCTGAATTGTAGTTTAGGGTTTCCACCGTCTGCTAACATATAACAGTCACCAGTATCTCTGTCACTCTTCTTGCTGTCCCCTTCTTGTGTCATTGCACTCATTCATTCATTTCACATGTATCTGTCCAGCATCTGTTATTGTGCCTGGTGGCTGTAAGTACAATGCTGGCAGAGCTGAAAGAGTTCTGCCTTCAGGATGGGTAGAATCCACCTCTCCCTGCCCTGCTGGGTGACTCACTCTCAGTCTTGAGGCTGTGTCAGTTGCTCTCAGGCTCTTTGCATATGTTGTTCTTTTTTTCCTCCTCTTTTGCTTAGCTAAATCTTATTCATCCTTTATGACAAGGCTTCACTTATCATTCATTCATTTATTCATCAGGAAGTACTTATTGGCCACTAAGTGCTAGACCGAGCTGGGTGCTGGGGCATATGAGGGAAGCCCCTTCCCCGCAAATAAACACACCCACATGATCATGTTTCTGCCCGTTGGGCCTATGTCAGTTGAGATGGGAGAGGCAGAACCTTCCCCAGGAACTGCAACTTGAACTGAGTTCTGAATGCTGAGATAGACAGAGGGGAGATGTGGAGAGAATGTTTCAGGCAGGGGAGCCTGGGTGGCCTTTGTCAGCGGGGTGTGGCATGTTCAAGGGACCGAGAGGTCTGTGTGGCACAGATGGCAAGAGGTGGCTTTGTATCCGGTGAGGTGGATGGGCAGGTAAGATTGGGGCAGACCTTAGAGGCCACAGGAAAGAATCCAGTCTTTTTCTTTTCTTTTTTTTTGAGTTGGAATCTCACTCTGTCACCCAGACTGGAGTGCAGTGGCACGCTCCCGGCCACCGCAGCCTCGACCTGCTGGACTCCGGCGATCATTCCACCTCAGCTTTCCAAGTAGGTGGAACTACAGGTGTGCACTACCATGCCTGGCTAATTTTTTTGATTTATTGTAGAGATGAGGTCTCGCCAAGTTGCCCAGGCAGGTCTCGAACCCACGGGCTCAGGCAATTCTTCAGCCTCCCAAGGTGCGGGATTACAGGCTAACCACCGAGCCTGGCCCAGTCTTTTTCTTTTTCTCTTTTTTTTTTTTTTGAGTTGGAGTCTCACTCTGTCGCCCAGACTGGAGTGCAGTGGCTGCTCCCGGCCACCGCAGCCTCGACCTGCTGGGCTCCGGCGATCCTTCCACCAGTCTTTTTCTTGAGAGCAATGGAAAGCTACCTTAGGGCTTTACGCTGTAGGTGACATCATCAGACTCCCATTTGTAAAGATCTGTTTTCTGAACGTGGAGACTAGATAGGAGTGGACTAGGGGAAATCAGCTTGATAGCAGTGTTGTGGCCCCCAAAGGAAGGATGGGAACATGGTGTCTCAGTTTGTTGGGATGCTATAACAAAACACAAACTGGGTAGTTTTTATTTTTTTATTATTTATTTGTTTATTTTTTTAAGTTGGAGACTCACTCTGTCGCCCAGACTGGAGTGCAGTGGCACGCTCCCGGCCACCATAGCCTTGACCTGCTGGGCTCTGGCTATCCTTCCACCCTCAGCCTTCCAAGTAGCTGGAACTACAGGCGTGTGCTACCACACCCAGCTAATTTTTTTGGTTTATTGTAGAAATGAGGTCTTGCCAAGTTGCCTGGGCAGGTCTCCAACCTGGGGCTCAGGCAGTCCACTCATCTCGGCCTCCCAAAGCACTGGGATTATAGGCTGAGCCATCAAGCCCGGCCGCTGGGTAGTTTTTAAAGAATAGAAACTTATTTCTCACAGACTGAGGCATCAGTGGATTGGTGTCTGGTGAGTGAAAGAAGTTTGGTGCCAGTAATGACTCCACACCCCGCCAGGATCAAGAGATTTATTAAAGTGGCGGTTATAAGGAAAAAGGGAAAGGGTCGGTGGCGAAGGTCCGGGAGGGCTGGAGTGGCCACTGGCGCCAGGTCGGGGGTCCCGCCTACCGGGATAGACCCGCACCAGGGCGGGGGAGCACCCGATCCGAGTCACGGCATCAGTGAAAGAAGTTCGGCGCCAGTAATGACTCCACACCCGGCCAGGACCAAGAGATTTATTAAAGTGGCAGTTACAAGGAAAAAGGGAAAGGGTCTGTGGAGAGAGAGAGAGGAAGTGGGAGAGAGGCAGGGAGAGAGCTGCAGAGAGGGAGAAAGTGACAGAGAGAGACAGAGAGACTGAGAGAGAGAGAGGAAGTGGGAGAGAGGCGGGGAGAGAGCTGCAGAGAGGGAGAGAGTGACAGGGAGAGAGTGACAGAGAGAGAGAGAAAGAGAGACCGAGAGAGAGAGAAACAGACCAAGAGAGAGAGAGTTGCGGCAAGAGGGCTGTATTTATCAGCCCGACAGGGGCCGGAAGGGGCCGTGCTATGCTTCTATTGGAGGAGCTGCATGGGAGTAGGGTGGGGCCAATGCCGTGTTATGGTCCTATTGGACGCATAACAAAGCTGGGTACTGATTGGAAGCTTGCAGGTTTGAAATTGGTGCACCGGGGAAGTTTGAAATTGGCGTGCGCTCGGAATTGTGCTCGCAGAGGCCGGACCGAGGGCCTTTGTTGTCTGGTGTGTCAGTGCCATTTCGGGAGCCGTCCCTCTGGTCGCTTCCTGCACCCTTCAGTGAGGACTCTCTTCTGTTGATAAAGGGCAACTTCTAGTGGGTACGCTCATTTGTGGAGGGGACGAAGCAACTCTCTGGGGCCTCTTCTATAAGGACACTAATCCTGTTCATGAGGGCTCTGCCCTCATGACCTCATTAACTCCCGAAGGTTCCACTTCCTGACACCATCGCGCTGGTGATTTGATTTCAGAACTTTGGAGGGGACACAAACATTCAGACCATAGCCCTTGGATTAGGGTGGTGGCAGTGGAGATGGAGAAAGTTCAATCGATTTGAAAGATAATTAAGAGATAAGAGCTGACAGGATTTGGTGGTAGCTTGCATGGGGAGGGGGAAGAGGAGGAGGCAGCTAGGATGACCCCTAGGTTTCAGGTGTGCACAGCTGGACCATTGATGGTAGTTCTACCAGTCCCTGGAATGAGGTGCCTGGGCAAGCTTCAGGGGGGTGATCGTGAGCTTGAGTGTAGTCATGCTGCATTTGATGGGCCGTTGAACATCCAAAATGTCTAGCAGCTACTTGGATATTAGATCTTGAACTTAGAAAAGAGGTTTGGCCTGGAGATATTCTTTTGGGAATCACAGGCTCATTGGTGTTAACTTAGGTGGTGAATATGGATGGATTCCATTTAAGGAGGGGATGATGTAGTGAAAACAGGGCATAGGACCAAGCTGGGAGGACCCCCAGCAATGGAGGCTGGTAGAAACCTGCAGAGCAGTGGGTCCTGAAAGCATTTGGGAAGATCCTTTTTCAGGAAATGAGTGATGAGCAATGCGACTTGCTGCTGAGATGGAGACTACTGGACACTCACTAGCCTTAGTGGCCTAAGCAATAGATGTTTTAGCTGAATGACAGGGAGGTTACCAGGCCAGAGTGAGTTGAGCAGTGAGTGGGAGTTAGAAATTAGACAAGTGAAGACAGCTCTTTGGAGAGGCCTGGCAGGGAAGGGAAGGCGGAGCAAGGGGCCTGTATGTGGGGGAGGTTGTTTCTCTCTTTCTGTCTCTCTAAGAGACTTAACCTGTTTAAAAACTAAAAGCTGATGGGAGGATGGAAAGTATCCACTTTAGAGAGAGATGTTATGCCTTTGAGAGGTAAAGCTAAGCTGCAGTGGGGGGTTGCTGAGCCTTACCTGGGAGTAGCTGAGAGAAGGATGGGGTGGCAGTGGGTCCAGCATGTGCAGAAGGGGCTGTGCATTTGGAAAAGACCATCCTCGTCTTTCTCTGGGAAGAATGAGGTTGTCTGCAGAGCACCCTACGAGCAGGATGCAGAGGGCCAATGGAGGGCCAAGACTCTGCTCAGTGAGGGGGAGAGTGAGCCCCACAAAGAACCATGAAGGCCCAGCGGGTGACATTGAGGATGGTGATGGCTGCATGGGGGAACCCAGCATCCCTGTGTGTGGTACCACTGTAGTGCTTGGCAGGTACTTACTGTCTCCCTCATGGTAGGGGAGTCGGCAACTACTCTGTTGTGATTTAGTAGACCAAAGTGGATATCTCAGGCCTCTACCACTGCTTTCCCACCTGCCTGGAGTTGCCCCAGGAAGGGAAGTCTTTGGGGATGCTATTTTGGGTCCAGACAGGTAGGGGGAGAGAGAGAGAGAGAAACAGCATTCTTCAGGCCTGTCACAGTTTCCACACAGGCAAACACACACACTCATGCATACAAAGTTCACAAATACTTTTTATGCTTACTGTGTGCAATATATGCTGTTTTTTCTGTTTTATTGTGTTTTGTTTCATTTTGACATACAGTTGTACCCCCACTGAATTCAGTTCAGGATACATTGGTAGGGTTTGGCTTGAAGTATGAAAATATGGGTGACTCTGAAGTACAGCTGGCATGGGAGTCGTCAAATAAGGAAGGTGGAAGACAGAGATGCGGCTAGAAAGTAGGGCGTCTAAGGTATTGGCGCTGGAAATGGACCATTTATGGAAAGGGATACTTTTGGAGGTGTGGCTGTGGGAGTGAAGAGTGCATAAAGTCAAGGAGGAGATCATGGTGTCGGACAGCTTAGGATTGAGAGTCTGGGGTGTCAGATGGCTCCACCAGTGTCCCATGGATATTGGGATCTCAAGGTGATGGTGAGACTTGGGAGTAGGTGAGACAATGAGAGAGAGACACCGATGGATGCAGACATGCGGCAGACAGCAAGGCTGGTGCCTGAATCTTGCAGCTAAGAGGGGTGGGCGGGAGACTGGCATAAGATAGACAAGTGTGGAACATGGTATAGAGCTGGTTGTTTTACAAGATGATGTGTGGAGATTCCAGCCATGGTCTGTGGGTGGAGTGGGAAGCCAGGAGGTCGCCCACACCGCTTCCCAAGGTGGGGCAGCCCCCTCACTCTCAGGAGCGCTGTCCACTGTCATTGTCATTGGTGTGAGTTGTGTCATGGCTATTGCCTTTGGACTGTACACTCCATGGGGACAGGGACGGTGTTTATGACATATTTCTCTGAGGTCCCAGTGCTGAATACTAGACTGACAGCCCTGTAGGTGCTCATATGTATACTTGACTGAGAATGAATATTGAGTCATAAGACATATGAAACCCTAATATTGGTCTAGAATATAAAATAGATCACAGAACTCTGATGACATCTACAATTGGATGCCACACACAGCATTTCAGTCAGTATTACATCGAGTCACAATTTTCTGTGAAAATTGGGTCTAATTAGCCATTTACATTTGCCAATCTTTGTGTTTGTCTTGTAGAGTTGTTCCATAATGGACCTCACTCTTTCGGATATGCGCAGGGAACCTTTTTGGTGTTTCAGTTCCCCGGTTTGCATGAAATTGTCTGCCGCGCCCTTGGATGGTCCTCATTTCTTGGGAGAGACATACTTTGTGGACTACATGGACGAAGAAGGCAGAGTGCACGTGGAGATGGTGTGGATCAGAGAGACCGAGGAATACTTCATTGTTAACCTGGTCCTTTACCTTAGTATAGCAAAAGTCAACCACTGGTTTGGGACAAAATACTGAATATTAGCAGAAGGTGGCAAAAGTGATTGTGGCTGTGAAGCTGTATTCTTTTCACAGGCTATTTTTGTTCTTGGTATTGGAAGTTAAAATAAGAACTGTCTTCAGTAGTCTGTGTGGGACCTTCTTCTTTCACCTTAGAAGCTGGGATTTATGGGTCATTTAAAGTTAAAGTTTGAAAGATGATGTTAAATGTTAGAAAAATAAAAATAGCACAGTCCAAAGAAAGTTCATATAGAAAGACAAAATATTTTTACTTCTCTTCTGTGTTTTGCTAAAAAATTAAGAATATCTATTTAAATGTGTACTTATGTGATCACTTGTGTGGGGGAGGGGGACACAGGCATGCTGTGTAAAGAGGGCTTTTTTTTTTTCTTAATTGGTAAGGAGCCCAAATGAGACAGTACACTTGGATATAACCTTCACAGTATTCATTAGAATTAGTGCTACTTTCATGACACTCAGCAGCCACATTCGTGTTTGATAAAGTAAAATCGATGAGTGGCCTAATTCACAAGGAAAGATGTGTCTGAAATCATCATAAGGAAATGATAACTTAGAAATGCGCGGTGTGATACAAATCCAGTTAAGACACCCAACCCACATCAGTGGGACTGTAGAGTGGTGGGTAACTGAATACCTGGGAATTTTGGTCCTAAGTGGTCTTGCATTGTGTTGATTCTGCTTTTATCAATTTTATCTCCCTTAAAAGTTGTTCTCAGATGATTTCTGATGTCATATTGTGATTCTCCTACTTGGACTTGCATGATTAAGCTTGCCTTTCTCTCTATTGTTCATCCTTTTCCTATTACCTTATTTGACCAGTTTCTCATTTGAGGTTTGTGTGACAGTAAATATGTGCATGTGTAGAATGAAGAACTGGAAGACATCAATAAAGTAAACATATGGAACGCATATTAGGCTTTTGTCCAAGGAATTGGGAGAGTAAAAAAGGATTTCTGTGGCCAACACTGTTCTCCACCCTCCCGTCCTAGCCCTTGGTCCAAAGCCTTTAGGAAGAGAGGAATTTGAAATCTGTGTCAGATTTTGAGAGCACAGGGCTGTGTTGTTTCATAGCATCACTGAATAGGCACTGTAGAGTGCCTGCCCCACTTGAGTGAGACTTGGGGAGGGAGGAGGTGTCAGCCTGAGCAGGGAGCCCGAACAAGAGAACAAGGAGTCAGGATGATGCCACGGAACCAGGTGTCGCTCACAGGGCTGAATCTGAAAAGCCACAAGATGATGTGTGGAGACTTCCTGAACTCACTGGGTTAAATTGAGAGGGGCTCATGTCCTGAAAATACTGGAAACATCGTAGAGCCAGGGAGAGAGCCTATTTTCTTTAGCTCCTGTTTAATAATATTCAGAGGGAGTGAAAAAAGCCAGGAACCTTAGTGATACTACACAGTGGAAAGGCCCCAGGCTGGGCTGATGACCAGAACACTGGCCCACGCTGGAGTTCAGTGCATGTGAACGGCTGCGTCTCCTGCCAGACTGCCAGTCTTGTGCTCGGGGACAATAATATCTTCTCATTCTCTGGTTTCTCCCTAGCACCTAGCAGGATGCCAGACCTGTAATCAATACTTGATAGCTATTTGTTGAACCAATGGAAATTATTATAAGGAATATACCTGCAGCCATGGGATCTTGAAGGAGGCAGGGATAAATTCTTACTCGGATGAGTCTGGGAGCCCTTGACGCCACAGGTGACTTCTGAGTTTACCTGTGAAGGAAGGTTTCCTGGGCAGTGAGGAGGAGGGTAAACGAGGTGTAGGAAACAGGGTTCACAGAGCCATGGGATGTCTCATCAAAGTCAGTGTGTACCCTACACATAACTTACATGCTTGTCATGCATCTGAGATAATATTCTCATATTTGCCTCCATATTTCTGAATATATCTAAACATAACAGATGATCCACAAATTCTGCTTTTTGTTTCTCCCAGGATACTCCATTTCCAGAGATCTGCCTCTCTTTGCTTCAAACTGCTTGGTCCTAGCAGCTGTCATCCTGGGCAGCTGGCACCCTGGGCAGCTGGCACCTTGGGCTTTCCTGAATGAACCCTGTTTCATGGGGTTCTGACTTTTCTTTCTTGGTTCTTGCCCCTTTTCAGTGGTACACATTCTCCTGTGGCTTTCTGAGAAACGTGACATGGGATTACATTTTCAATCTATGAATTTCTAAAAATGCCTGGTGGAGAGTTTAATTGGGTACCCAATTGTAGGAAGAAAGGTGTTTTCTCTCAGAACCTTAAAGATGTGTGTGAGCATTGTTGTTGATATATCTAATGCCTCTTTGCCCCTTTGCTTTTTTTTCTCTGTATGAGGTCTGTTCTCTCTGGAAGCTTTTAGAATATACTCTTTTAGAATTTACTCTTATTTTAAAATTTAAAATTTACTGTTATTTTAAAATTTCAAGATGAGGTAGGCTGGGCGTGGTAGCTTACGCCTGTCATCCCAGCACTTTGGAAGGCTGAAGCGAGAGGATTGCCTGAGCCCACAGGTTTGAGACCAGTCTGGTCAACTTGGTGAGACCTAATCTCTACAATAAATAAATATAAAAATTAGCCAGGCATGGTGGCGCACGCCTATAGTTCCAGCTACTTGGAAGGCTGAGGTGGAAGAATCGCCTGAGCCTAGCAGGTTGAGGCTGTGATAACTGTGAGTGTGTCATTGTACTCCAGCCTGGACAACAGCATGAGACTCCAACTCAAAAAAAAAAAAAAAAAAAAAGATGATGTGCCTTGGAATGGTTTTTTTGCATTCATCATGGGTCATTTTAATCTAAGAGTGTGTACTTAAGTTCTGGATTTTTTAAAATTTTATTTTAAAGATATATGGCACAATTCAGGGCTAGGTACTTAAGTGGTCATCATACAGGTAAAGTTTGGGCCGCCTTCCTTTAGTGTCCATTTTGCCTGATTTGAGATTGTGTACCCTTATTGATGTCATGTCTCCACTCCCCCAGCTCAACCTGGCAATGTCCCCCTACTGCCAATCCCTTTTCTATAATATGGACTTCACAGCAAATTCTGGATTTTTAAAAAAAGCTGGTAGTACTTTCTCTGTTGTCTTGTTCTGTAACTTTTATTAATGAGCTGTTGTTCTTTCTGGATTGATTATCTTAAGTTCCTTATCTTTTCCATTTTATCTTTATCTTTTAGTCTTTTGTTCACTTTCTGGAATATTGACTCAATTTTGTTTTTCAGTTCTTCTGTAGAATTAAAAAAATTTTTTTTGATCAGGCTTTTATTACATAAGGACTCTTTTTTTTGTTGCTATTTTCTTGTTCCTTATAAAGCATTTGTGCCTGTTTTTTAAATGTAATATTTTCTCTAAAGCAAGTGTTGGCAAACTTTGTCTATAAAGAGTCAGATAATAGTTTAGTCTTTATGGGACATATGGTAGTGTGTAATCACCTATAGAAGGTGTGAAATCAGCTATAGATGGTACACAAATGAATTAGCACAGTTGTGTTCCCGAAAAACTTTATTTACAAAAACAAGCAGCTGCTGGATTTGGCCTTCAGGCTGTAGTTTGCCAAGTTTGGCACATGTCTCTAGGTTATTGATTTTAGTTTTCAAAAAAGTTTTCATCCTACAACCATTTGGGAAAACCATAGTGCTACTGTACTAATTTTAGGCGAGAACCATCCATGGGTGCTAAAATGTGTGGGTGGCCTGTGGCTCTCCTCCTCTTTAAATGGAACGGTCAGTCAGTCTTTTTGACTGCTGTGACCTTGATTCTTTTGGGCGTTACAGGCCACTTATTTACTGGAATGTCCTTCAATATGGGCTTGTCTGGAGTTAGGCATACGTTTGTCTGAAGATCATCAGAGTTACCGCAGAAGTGGTGCTGTGTCCTATCAGGGGCCACAGAATTCCATTTTGTTCCTTTACAGATCTGTTCCCTATGACCTATGGGTGAAAGGGTGTTTAGAAGGCTTCTTCACTCTAAAGTTACTCCCTCACCCTTTGTGAAGATTTAGGGTTTTATGGGAGATACTTTGAAACTACACAGATATCCTATTCATCAACAAACTTTTAATATATTTGTTTCTGTCTGTATGAAATCATGGTTTCCTGTTTTACTCAATGGGCTGTAATTAGTCGCTCTTATTTTTTATTTTTGTGCTCAAATGTTCTCAGGTTTTTCTGGCAGAAGCACCAGCGAGCCAGCCTCTGTTTTCTGGTGTGTCCCCCATGTGTTCCCCTCATTCTGGGCACTTCCTTTCCTTCTGACTGGCATGAGTTGTCCCAGGCTCATCTTGTACTTTTTCTGCCCCAGCCCTGGAATCAGAGATTTCTTCAGAGAGCCCTCGTTCCTTCCAGTGGAGAATATTTAGAAACCGAGATCTGGGTGCTGGGTGTGCTCTCTCCTCTGGAGGACAGCATGAGGAGTATAAGCACTCACCTTCGAGCTTATGTCCATACATTCGTAGTTACATCCTTTATAGCTATAGCTGTTGACAAGCATGGATTCCCCCAATACCTTCAATACCCATCCAGCACTGCAAGTCCATCTAGTTTTCTCTCTGTGTGTGTTTGTGGCTCATACTCCTACCCAATCCCAGTATCCTGGTTCTGTGTCTTCCAATGGGTGTCCCGCCCCCTGCTGCCCCCTCTCAAGAGATGCCTTGCTTCCTGTCTTGGGCTCTGACACAGTGTGATGGGATGCTGGCCACAAGGAAACCCTTCTCACTCCCCCAGGGCCCCAGCTCCTCATGATCGTGGCCCCCACCCCTGTGTGTGCAGCCTTCTGCCCTTCTTGGGCTCAGAAACATCACAAAGCACTGGACCATATGATTTAAAGATTCTTTTGATGCCCATGATGCACCGACACTCGGATCGATGAATGGAAGAGCTCATGGTTGGGTTGCTTACAGCTCTGAATGAGGGAAGGCACCAGGGAAAGCCCTGCAGATGGTGCCTGGTCGGGCAGGGCAGGGTAACAGCAAGCTGGAGCTGCAGGGGCAGATTGTGCATGGCCAGGTCTCTGTGCATTGCTAATTTGAATAATTCCATGGGATCCTAAATGTGAGGTTTGTTCCTAGTTGTCTGGTACCTGGCCCTGGCACCATTAGGCTGGTGCATCATGGACTCTGAGAATGAGAGCCAATAAGGAATGTGGAGTGTGGACCTCATTCACGGCTCAAGAAGGCAACTGACCAGACTCTCGCCTCCAAAGAGGGCAAGACAGCATTAAGAAAACAACAAACCCATTTATTGGTTCTCCTCTGCATAGATGTCCCCACCATCCTCCCTAGGCCTTGCCTTCCATATCAGGACCCTCCTCACCTCACCTGAACCTTTGCGACCCCCTTCTCCACCAGCTGCAGGTACTGCCTTGCTTTGGCCACTTAATGGCTTTAGAAATCAACAGTGGACGAAGGGTAAATATTTCTAAAAGATTAAACATACTAACATACTGTCCGTGTGTCATAAATGTTCACAGATTATGCCCAACATAAATAACAACCCTTTTGGGGTAGGGGGTGGCCATCTTAATATTGTATGTGTTGAAATTCAGCTATCAGACACGTGATATAAAAATTCACTAATCATACTCCTTTGTCAGAGAGAAAGCTTTTTGTTTGCAAAGCAAGAGGAATTATTAAGCTGGGGGAACTTAACTCCAAAGACAGAATCATGAAGCAGGGCTCATTGAGCTGAATGAACTCAAAAAATTCACAGGTGCAAGCTCTTAATTATGCATTTGGCAAAGAAGACAAGTTTGAGTTCCACACAAGAAAGCATGCTTACCTCCAGTGTAGAATAAAGGGAATACTTTTATTTCAAGTATACTCAAGGTGCAAAATTTTATCTGATTTAAAATTAGGTCAAAGATCTGACCAGGCTTTGCAAAGTTGATTTTTACATGGAGCTTGGAATGTCTCTTATTTACATTAACATCTA